GTAAAAACTAAATTTTCACTGCTTTTATGACCTTTTAGTGGGGAGAACATAGCTAGGATTTAATGATTTAACAAATCTTTTAAATCCTTTGTCCTCCACAATGCTAAATGTCTGGGAGTCCTCAATCACCATGCTAACCAGGTTTTCATCTATTTGAGATTGTTCTCCTGAGGAAAGAGCACAAATATAAACATCACACACGTAACTTATTACAGTTGTATAATATTGTTATATCATTTAGTAACATTACTGCATGCTATATTATCATGGCATTTGATGGCTCACCTGGTCTTGCTCCACAATTGGTGTTCCCCTTATTCTCATGCAAAGCTCTGTAGTGCCTAAGCATGGATGAGGTGTTGTTGTTATATTCCAGCTCCCTGGCACATAGCAAACACTTCACCTTGTACAAAAGTAAAGACAGCTTAACATAAATTGTATTGCACCATCAGTATTATGAAAATACATCTTCTGTAGAAATGTACATACCTTGTTGGGAGGAATAAGATCAAAATGTTCCCACACAGGGGAGGCCATCCTCCTCTTCTTAGCTGGCTCCATTCTCTCCTGACTTTCTCTCCTCACTCTCCTAAACCTCCAAACTCTCTCCAAACTCTCACTAACTGCAACTCTCCATCAAACACCCACATTTTGAATGAAGTCTGAGGGGTTTATATCGCTGTCATAGCTCGCGGCAAAGTTCGAACCACTTCCTGAACCAGTCACGTGGTACGGCCGGGCAGCGAGGCTTCGGACGTCATCATTTTCAGCTCCTCCCTCGTTACGCGCATCGCGGAAACGCCCCCTCCATTACTCGACGCAAGCTTTGAAGCCTCGATACAGAACGCCACATCACTAATCATGGGTGTGCAACTATCATATTTTGGAAGCTGTGTGATACTCTCTTGTCACTGTGGTTCAAAATGTTTATCTATAGATAACTACCAAAAGCTGAAAGAGAAATAAATGATTATATTATTTTTGTGCAGAGACACACATAATGGCATATCCACATGAAGTAACACACAATTTTCCACCAGATGATGCTGTTGGAAAAGTATGCTCTGATTCACATGACCCTGAGAAGCATTGTCTACAAACTACATAAAAAGGTGAATGTGAACTTACACCACCTGCTGGCTGCACAGACAGAGCAAAAAAGAGTAAAAACAAAAGTCATTCTTGGTGTATACTTCAGATTTCTAACGCACAAGTATGTACACAAGTTACAGCATAATGAAGCCTGAAGCATGATCGGTATTATAAGTTGTTCATATAAGTATACTGGTAACCCGAGTGTGAAGAAAAGATTCTTTTTTGTGTAATAATTGATCCAATTTTCCTGTTTAAGTCTGAAGAAAACTATCAAAAATTTCTCGTTTTCTGGTGCAAAGCTAAAGTGTTCTTTTTTAGATAGTGAATTTGTGCTTTTTAACACTTTGACCCTCAGTTAATAAAACAAAATAAAACAAAATAACAGCATGTTTAAGTTTTGTTTAAAAAAACCCCCGCTGCATCTTCATTTAAAAAAAATTGCAATGCAATTGCAATTATAGTTGAGAAGCAATAACAAAACATTTTCTAGTCCCCTAAAGCCCCGCTGATAAATCTCCAGTCATAAACCAAACAAACCAAAAAGTTAATGGAACTACTTGAGTCGAAGTACCGAACTTTGATTACATAAAGTCCACTCCTCCTTAACATTTCTGGAAACTTTGTTAAGTAACAGCATACTGAATTACACAAAATGTGCCGAATGGTCGTGGCATGCGTGTGGGACGTCAGGAAGTGGTGAGCCTGTCACATGTGAAAAAAAGCCCCTGACGTACCTACAGTCAATTATTTGAAAACTTTTAGGCTGTGAGCATGTTGAGCCTAAAGGATAAACTGAATTATCTGATAATATTTTGCTGCTGTGTGTTTGTCTCTGTCCATGGAAGCGGCAAAGGTAAACATAGATATTATTTTATTGATGGAATAGCTGTTATAGATGTGCCATGGTTGTAACATCAAATGATAAAGGCATGCCTAATTAACCAAATAATCAGATGTTGTTCTTGGAAAAATGTGCTGATATGAATTATTTGAACATGGCATGCCAAATTTGGGCATATTTACTTGTTACAGCCACTATGATGGAAATTACATGTCAATATTATAGATGATGAGGGAAAATCATAGAAAATATGTGAATATTTTTATTTCCTTTTATTACCAGGGCATATGGGCACTGCCTCAAAGTATTATTGGCTTCTTGTCTATCTGTAGATTTGTTACACCTCTCATCATTAATATTAGGTTTCTGAGGTGTCTATTATTTGACTGAGCACTGAATTATGTGTGAGTAAGACTAAAGGGCTTTTGCTTCAGATCAGGAGCTGCGTTCTCTCAGTGTAAACCAGAGTAAAGGTAAAATCTGCAACTAGATTTCCCTCTGTGGCATGCAGCCTCACGGCACTAAATCTCAACCATGCCACACAAAAGCCACACAATACAACACAGTTCCTTTATACAATGTATATTATCATAAAGTTCATTGTAAAAACATTAATTAAACATTAATTCAATCATGTAAACATTACATTCATACCAGATAAGATAAAACTTAAAACAAATCTTTACAAACATGAATATTAATCTTATCTTGCACAAGTAAATGGCCAGTAAGTCCTCCAGTTACTGAGAAAACAATACCGTGAGAATGAAAAACAAACTGTATAAAATAATTGTCTTATGTATAAATATACATGTGAATATAAAACACGTTGTTTTTAAATACACAGCATCTATTACGCTAAGTACCATTATGTCTATATTCTCTCTGTCTTTGAAATGTTAGCACTCCAGAGAGCTCTGGGACATAATTAGACTAATAAAACCACTAATAAAATGACAGTAAAATGACAGATAGATAAATAAATAAGATGGACGACATGTGTGGGATGGGACAATTTATATAGTATTAAGATAAAAAATGTATTTCATTGTTGCAGTCACAAAAGAAGAAAATATGCTTCATGTAAACAGGCTTTAATTCTTTTCTGATAAGAATTACGCATTACTTAAAATATATATATATATATATATATTGCAGGTCCACATGCTTCGTGTGAAGTTGCGATTATGGTCCGAAGATACAGCACTCGGAAGACTCCTCCACGACAAAGTCTGACAGTCAGCTGTCCGGTCAAACACTGTGGAGAAACGCTGGAGGTCACCTGGTGTAAACTCTTTGACTCAGTCAACTGTGAACGGATTAATGAAACAAAAAATGTGAAAATAACACAGGATCCTGATAAGGATAAGCTGATCTCATATTTAAATTTCAAGGAGATTTCCATTCATGACGATGGTTTGTACAGATGTGGTTTACAAGGATATAATGG